CCTTTCTCCCGAAGGACTCAGGGCAGTAAACAGCCAGAAGTAAAAAACATCAAATACAAAATTTAAAAACAATTTAAAAATAAATTAAACATTTTGGCCCGACAGTTAAAATCCCCCATTAAAAATCCAAATTAAAATACACAATTGGAGAGATTAGGCCAGCCCGACTTGATGAAATAAGAAGGTTTTGAGGGCCCGACAAAATGTGCCATCTTCATCAGCATGTCTACAACCATGAACACGGTCGTAAATCTGGAAGACGGAGGCAAATCCATCAAGAGGTCCATGGAAATGGCACCCCAGGGTCTGTCAGGTGTCGGCAATGGCTGGAGCAGCCCTGGGGGACTCCAATTGCCAACTTGGCCTGCCAGCACCATACACAGGACATGATATAGGCTTGTACATCATGTCATAATCGAGGCCACCAGAGGTATGGGAACCAGGTTCAAGGTTCTTCAAGGTCTTGAAGAGGCCAAAGTGCTCCACTGCAGGATTGTCATGGCATTGCAAGAGGATAAGTCCCCGGAGCGGCCCCACCAGCACATTATCCTGTCTCGATACCTCAAGCGTTCCTCAGTGAACGTCCATGGAGAGGCGGGCCCCACCTTTTCCCGCTGTTGCTCCACCCAAGCGTCATGCCGCTGTTTTTTCTGTATCTGAAAGTCCACTGGCTTCCGAACCGCAGAGAAGGACTCTATAGGCAGAACTGTCTTGGGCAGGAGCTGGTCTTTGGTGCAAGAGTACTCCGATTTCCATGAGACCGTGTCTGCTCTTTGGTTGCAACTGCTCAGATGTAGGTGACGCGGAAATTGGCAAAGAACCTGGCAAAGAAGAGGGACCACCGAATCTGGCATTGGTTCAATTTCCAGGTGGTCTGCAGGAACTCAACGTTTTTGTGGTCCATCCGGACTTTAAGTCGAGCCCCCTCCAAATGATGTCTCCAGACCTCAAACGCCACCTTAATTGCCAGTAGCGCCTTCTCCCAGATGGTGTAGTTGCATTCGGAGTTTAGTTTCCGCAAGTAGTATGCACAAGGGAAGAGGATATCACTGGGCGTGTGAGCCTGGAGTAGCACCACTCTGACAGCAACTTCAGATGCATCCACTTCCACTACAAACATACGGTGGGAATTGGGATGTTTCAAGATGGGTTCTTGCATGAATGCTTGCTTCAAGGCCAGCCCAAACGGCATGACGGTATACTCCAAGTGTCCATACCTGGTGCCAAATGCAGTCTTCCATTCATCCCTGAGCCAGATCCGAACTAGATTATAGCCTCCCCGCAGGTCCAGTTTTGTGAAGACAGTGGCCTCTTGGAGCCATTCCAACAGTTCTAAAATGAGGGGCAGAGGATATCAATTGTGCACGGTGATGGCGTTCAATTTGCGATAGTCACAATAGAGCCTCAAGTCTCTGGTCTTCTTCTTCACAAACAACACCAGTGTGGACACTGGCGATGACGAGGGCTGGATAAAACCCTGAGCCAGTTTTTTTTTTTTTTGAATTTTTTTTGAATTTTTAAACAAAACATAAAACATAAATTCATCTTCCATTACAATTTCAAACAGTGTGTCGGTCAGTTACAAATCTTTTGTGCTTCATCTCCATATTCAAAATGTACTAGTTATTTAGTTTCTCAAATTTTCAAACAAATAAACAATAAATAAACATTTATTATTTGTTTAACAATGGCTTTACCGCTTCATAAAAATTATTTTCAAGTATTATATTTATAACATTCATTTCATGTTTCATACTTCATTTCCATGCTTTCTTATCTAGCCATTGGTAAAATAAATCCCATATCTTATAGTATTGTTTTATTTTCTTGTTCTCTAATTTCAAATGTCAATTTACTCATTTCAGCACATTCCATAATTTTCTTAATAACTTTATCTTGCGTTGGTATTTTCTTATTTTTCCAGTTTTTCGCAAACACAATTCTAGCTGCTGTTAAAACATTCACAATCAAGTATCTCAATTCTCTATTGTATATTTCTGGCACAATTCCTAATACAAATATCTCTGCTACCCCGAGCCAGATTTTTGTCCAAGAAGTCCTGCAACGCGGCCAACTCAGGGTCAGACATAGAGTACAAATGCCCCACTGGGAGCGGAGCATGCAGAAACAAATTGATGGGGCAATCATATGGTCGATGCGGGAGCAAGTAGTCCATCTCTTTTGCTGAAGACGTCTGCTAAATCCACCAGGTCGAAAGGCAGAGCAACCCCGGGCAGACTCAGCAACTGGCCTGCACAGACTTGATAGATGTGGTCCATGCATTGCAAACTCGGGAAGATGATTAGGTTCTGGGACCAGTATATTTGCGGATTGTGCGTCCGGAGCCAAGCCAAGACCATGACTATGGGGAAATACAGGGCAGAGGTGATAGAAAACTGAATGGCTTCCCCATGAGAGCTGATGACCAGGCGCAAGGGTTACATGGCCTTAATTGGCCCAGACAGAAGCACCCAGCCATCAATGGTCTCCACGAGCAGAGGTGGGTCCACTGGGCAGTGAGGAACAGCACATTTAGCCACAAATGCCGCATCCATAAAGTTTGTGGTGGCCCTGAGTTGACCAGGGCATGTACTGGAATCCCCTGTGGACTACTGGACAAGAACACTCGTGCCAGGGGGCTCCGGGGGCAATGTCCAATGGGCGTGGTTCTGTGTTGGTGGGTGCCCAACCTAGTACCTCCACTAGGTTGGGTTCAGGGCATTTCCTGGCAAGATGTTCTGTGGCTGTGGGGCAGGCCCAGTAGCCAACGCCCCTCATCGCTTCTTAGGGCAAGAGGCGGCCATGTGCCCAGGTTCCCCATAATAGAAACACCCCCCCCGAGCGCTGTCTGTTCTTCTCAGTCATCGACAGGTGGAGCCTGGCTGCACCTAATTCCATGGGCTCCTCCCACAGAGCTGGGGTCTTGCACATGACCGGGACCACCTGGGTCTCCTGGGAGGTACAGTGACTCCCCCGTCACTGCAACCAAGCGTCAATCCAGAGACAAAGATGGACCAGCGTGTTGAGGTTCTGAGGAACATCGGCATGGACCAACTCGTCCTGCAACTCCTCCGACAACCCATCTTGGAAAGTGTCCATGAGGGCAGCCTCAATCCAGGCTGAATCTTGGCTAAGCAGCCTAAACTCACTTATATACTCCTATAGAGGGCACCGGCCCTGCTTTAGGTTTTTCAGGTGTCAGGTAGCGGTTTGAGTCTTAATGGAGTCCTCATACATGAGCCTGAGGTAGTCACAAAAGCCCTGGAAATCATCCAGCAAAGGGCTAGCCTGGAACAGCAGGGGCATTGCCCAGTGGGCCGCAGCACCAGAGAGAAGGCTAATCATAAACCCCATTTTATCCCAGTCAGTGGGAAAGTCTTCAGCTCTCAGGCTGATAAAGAGCTGGCATTGTCCCAAAAATGCTGGAAACATAGCTTGGTTGCCATCGAATTTATCAGGCACCGCCACTGGGCAAAGCAGCGTGAGCTTGAAGTTGCACAACCTGTGCTGCCAGCAAGGCCACCTGTTGGGTGAGCTGAGCGTTCTCTGCAAGAAACTGCTCCATTTTAGTAGAGGGTTGTTGGGGTAGGAGACAAACAGTTCTGACCCAGCCTTAGCAGAAGCAAGAAACAGACTCCTTATCACGAAAACCCCCTCTTTATTTACCTCTTGTGAATTAATTGCATTCGCCCACTGAAAAGTCCAGGGAATATTATTATTATTATTATTATTATTATTATTATTATTATTATTATTATTATTATTATTAGTCATATTTCTATGCCGCTCACTCTCCGAGGACTCTGGGCGGCTTACACTAAAGACAGTATACTAAATAGCATATTGCCCCCAACAATCTGGGTCCTCATTTTACCCACCTCGGAAGGATGGAAGGCTGAGTCAACCTTGAGCCAGTGAGATTTGATCCGCTGATCTGCTGAACTAGCAGTCAGCTGAAGTAGCTGCAGTACTGCACTCTAACCATTGCGCTACCTCGGCTCATAATCCTTCAAAGAGTTAACTGCAGTAACAAACCTTATCAGTTCCTTGCGATAATTGCAAGGCCGTGAGCTCCCAGCTGAAAGGCTGCAACTTAAGTTCTGGTAAGCAATCTTTGTGGCACAAAACACAATGAGCAAAATCTTCAGAAATACAAACCGTTGTCTCCTATGACAACCACTCCTCTTTCCTTCTATTTATTCCCCAGCCAGGGGGGAGTCATTCAGCATCCATGTGTGCTTTACTTCCCAAGTCGACTCCTTGTCCTCCATTGTTCTCCTCTCCTAACTGCTCTGTGCATATGTGCATCTGGAAGAGGCTCCAGCTGTTCTTCCTCCTCACTCATATCAGCCTCCAATGGCAGCTGCCTCTCCGGTAGCTGGGAAATGTCGGATGGCCCTGGGTCTATCTCTTCATCCGAAGCACAGCATCCATCAGAGCCTTCCCCAGACTCCAGAACTGGCCCAAGTTCCTCCCCAACCTCCTCATCGTCTGAATCTGCCACCAGCTCTGCTGGCAGCTGGCAGGCCACAAATTTGAGACTTGAGGCAACATCCTCAACAGGAGGATGCTGGAGGTAAACTAGTTGCAATCCTTTATCTTACCAAGGCTCAGGTGTTAGGAAGGACCAAGCTGGGAATGGCTTGGATTGGGATGGGTTTTCATCTAATTACTGGTGGGAACTGCCAGGATTACTGTTACTAAGAGATTCAGTCACATAATTTCATAATTTATGGCCATATTGCTTAGCAACAGGAATTCCAGTCCAAATTGCCATTGTAACTCAAGAACTATTGTACTGTCTAAAAGAAATCATCTTCCAAAAGGAAAGGCATAAATTTGACTGCAGTCATAAAACATCAGCTGATCATTTCTAATCCTAAATAATGTTTTTAGCAAAGACTGACCCACCAGTAGTTACACTATAATATATAACAATGGTTAGTTTAGCATCCCAATATGCATGTTTTTAAACAATAGGCATGCTTTTTTAGTTTTACCTCTGATGAAGTGTCTGCTTACATGTAGATTTGCTGACTTGATACTGAACAAAATGAGGAATCAAATCTGGATTTAGTTTGATATAGGCACCACGATTGCTTCCTTCTTCATAGTAGTTTGAGGCAGAAAAAATAGTGATGACCTATTTAAAAAAGAAAACAGCTATCACTTAAAATACAGTATGCTTAGAACCAGACTAGTCACAGGTGAACAAATGGTAGAATTAACCAAGCATTATGTTATAATTCTATATACTGTGAACAGTATATAAGTAGCTTTTTTCATTGTTGGAAAAACAATGAAAAAGAAGCTTAGATAGCTGTGGCTCTGTGTATCTAAAAAGTGGGGGGGTGGTCAAGTTCTGAGCACACCTTTTAATGTGATTTGATGCACACTTGAAGAGCTATGATAGCTCACTCCTAAAGATCAAGAATGGAATAATTATGGTATAAATATCCATTTCCTTGTATATAAAGCTTCTCCCTCAACAAACCATCCTATATTCTCAGATATGGAAGGGAGTTTGTATGTTTTGAAGGAAGGACAAAAAAACCAAGAACATATAGGGTTGCCAGGTCTGCTTCCAAAAAATAGCGGACAAGCGGGGGGGGGGGGGGTTAAGTAATAAAAAAATTAAAAAAAAATTACAATTAAATTATATATTTTCTTACAAACATTTTAACACGTATTAAAATAATCACTTCAAAACTTTACTTAAAATTCAAAACATCAAATATATTATAATAATATGTAAATATTAAATTACATTTTACTTTGCTGTCGTATGTATTTTTTATTTGACTGTGCAGCTTTGATCAATTCTTTGTGTTTAAGGAATAATTCTTTAATTTCAGTACAACGTTGAGAAATATTAAAAAATATACAAAGTTCACTTCGAACTGATACAAACAGTCGGTTACGTTCATCAGTCCACAAATTTCCCATGGCGCTGAAAATTCGTTCAACATTTGCATTTGATACCGGAATTGATGCACAATACTGGAACAGTTTCAGTAAACTCGGAGCTGGCTCTTTCTTGAAAAAGTATGTCCACTTATCAAGGGATGAATCGCCCTGCAGATGAACATAAACTTCTTCTAAGGCAGAAATTTCATCGAAAAGAGTGTTGGGTGGAAGTTCTTCTCGTCATGGTGATAATAACCAGATGTTCGTCATTTCTTCTAAAGTTGGAGGATTATTGCGATCAATTAGATTGAAACAATTTAGCGTCTCATATACTGAATCAGTGAAATTATACCACTTTTCTAGGTATGCAATGGCTCTTTGATACACGTTGATGGCTTCTTTCTTGAACTTTTGCACAGCATTCTCAGGCAAATGTTTTTTACGTAAGGCAAATAAAACTTTCATTCCAAAAAACTGCTCATCGTATTTTTTTTGCAAAGAATCACGCAGCTTACACATGATAATGTGAAGATCACATGCAAGAATTTTCTTGCTTTCCAGCTTCAGTAGGGTGTCTTGCATTATTGACATGAAGAAGTGCGTGAAATATAAATACAATTCTGAAATTGTTGGTTCATCGTCCTTTGCAAGTTCATTTTCCTGATCCGAAATAAGGTTCCAGATAACCTTATGGCATTCATCAGATCCAAGAGAAATAAAATACGATTTTAGAGGTATCCAGTTTAAAAGAAGTCTTTCGACCACTTTAAACAAACTTAACCAATGTGTTGGAACATGGCACAAAACTTCATGGAATTCTGACTTGCAAAGCTCAAAAAATGATTTCAACTCTTCTCGTTTCTTCGCAGAATTCGAAAATTCGGCAAAAACCTTCAGCATTACATTTTCGATATCAAAAGATAACTGCTTTAATGCATTTTTTGCGCTGTTGTGTAAAATGTGATTATTGCAATGAGCATTCGATCTTTGTCTCATTCTAACTTATGAAAAAAAAGACAAAACACGATTCTCCTATCCTTATTCTCTTAGACTGTACAGCTTTAGATTACGTACCATTTCATCATAAAGCTTTTGAATAAAAAAAAGTCCACTATTTTGTGAAAAAAAAATAGTGAACACAATGTGAAAAAAGTGGACTGTCCGCTCAAATAGTGGACACCTGGTAACCCTAAGAACATACCAGAAAATTAAGTTATTCAAACTTCTGGCAGCCATGATGTTTTCCAATGCATGGAAGAGGATAGAACAAAGAATGACAAATAGAGTTATAGTATTTTTCTACAGAAGCAGAAAACTGACATAACTATTTGCCCATAGAATATTTTTCTCTTTTCAGCTAGTCTTTCCATCTAAATAGTGATTCCTCCTTATTCTATTTTGCATTGTGGAAAAAATGAAATCATGATTAAAATTCAAGAAATCACGCTTGATATGATTAAGAATAATGATTGCCATATCAATATTGAGTTGGAGCTGTCCCTCTAGTACAATCTGTTACAATCTTTTTAGCTGTGAAATTTGAACTTTAAAGTACCAATTACCTTTCCATTATGACTGATCTCATAACCTTCCTGTTTGCACTGGTGAGACCTGATGAGCAATTTCAAATTATAACGCTGCAACAATCTGGCAGTAATATCTGGACCAAAGTAACAACCTCCTCCTCGAATTTTATTTGGTAAACAACCATTTTGATGCTTAGGATCACTCCAGAGAATATCCATCACCTTTCCATGCAAATGAATAAACATAAAATAATCCTATTATTTTCCAGTATTTGAAATAAGTGCTCATGTCTTTACTGATTCCCACACAGGATATGTATGACAATGAAACTTATTATACTGATGAACTAAATTAGAATGGTAAGAAAGTTAAATCACAATGCATAAATTAATATAACTGTAATCTGGTTTTGATAATTGCAGTCCAGGGTTGAAACAATTATCTATCTAGCTTCAGTGAAATTGACCCATTTTGACATACTCTGTCCATCTTCTAGTAGTTGATACTACCATCTGATGTTAAATAAAGTTTAAATAAAGTGCTTAGAGGGAAATTCTCTAAATGGGAGACAATTATGGACACCCAATTATTGATATATTAATAAGCATATTGAGCCCTTTTATCATCACAAAAATTGAATTCTAGAAGACAGGGGCTGCAACTCTTACCCACATTTTCTGTTAGCCTGCAAGAATTAGATATAAAGAAACAAGACAAATTTGGGGCAGCAAATTTCTAGTAGAAATTATTTATTCAGCTTGTAGTTGGTTACCCAATTAAAGCTTTATTTTCTATCTTTACAAAAGTTGTTTCCAGTTTGAACATCCTTATAACCCATATTTTGGAAAAAGAGACTATATATATAAGAGACCACCCCAACGATGCCCTTGAAGTGATGTCCCAGTGCCTGGAGGCCGTACGGATCTGGATGGGGAGAAACAGGCTCAGGCTCAACCCATCCAAGACCGAGTGGCTGTGGTTTCCGACATCCCGATATAGTCAGCTGGCGCCATCGCTGGCTATTGGGGGCGAATCATTGGCCCCCACGGAAAGGGCTCGTAACTTGGGCGTCCTCCTGGACTCACAGCTGTTTTTAGAAGAGCACTTGACGGCCGTGACCGGGAGGATTTTTCATCAGGTTCGCCTGATTCGCCAGTTGCATCCCTTTCTAGATCGGGACTCGTTACGCACAGTCACTCATGCCCTCGTCACCTCTCGTCTGGACTATTGTAATGCTCTCTACATGGGGCTCCCCTTGAGGTGCACCCGGAGGCTCCAACTGGCGCAGAGTGCGGCCGCGCGGGTGGTTATGGGAGCAACATGGAGCTCCCATGTAACACCTCTCCTGCGCGAGCTGCACTGGCTCCCGGTGGTCTTCCGGGTGCACTTCAAGGTTCTGGTTACCACCTTTAAAGCGCTCCATGGCTTGGGACCTGGTTACTTACAGGACCGCCTACTACCATCAACAACCTCCCACCGACCAGTACGCTCCCACAGAGAGGGGCTCCTCCAGGTGCCGTCGGCCAAACAATGTCGGCTGTCGGCCCCTAGGGGGAGAGCCTTCTCTGTGGGGGCACCGACGATCTGGAATGAGCTCCCCCCAGAGATACGGAGGATTCCGGATCTGCGCACCTTCCGCCGCGAGTTGAAGACGCTTTTATTTCATCAAGTTGGCCTCGCCTAAATCTTCTCCCTTTTAAGTGTAAATTCTAAATTTTTAATGTATTTTAAAATATGGGTATCTTAAATTATGGGTATTAATTCAGCCCAATTTATTTAATTCATTTTATTCGATTTTAAATTTTGTATATCTATGTGTTTTATCTCATGGCTGTGCACCGCCCTGAGTCCTTCGGGAGTAGGGCGGTATAGAAATTCAATAAAATAAATAAATAAATAAAATAAATAATATATAAAACTTTGGCATACTTGTTCCCTTTCCTTTGCTGTTAATTCTGGAGATGCATTTGTGGTAATCAAGTTGTAAGGCTTAAGACACTGCACATTCTGAAATGAGCTAGTACTGGTTATGTTATGGGTGCCATCAAGATTGCTTTTGATATCACCCACTTCCTTGGCATTTAGTCTTCTCTCACAGGATGCTGATGTAGACTTTATTACATTTTTCTTGGAGATGTCTTGCCCAGAATTGCATTTTTTGCTTTCTGTGAGATTGATACTGGTTTTCTGTGGCTCATAGATTGCTTCCATATTTGACTTCACTGGCCTCAGCAAAGACTTCAACTATGAAGATAAAATTCATGATCATTATTCGCAGAGCAACAACATTGATAAATATAGATATGCAAATGCTGTTTGGTCAAGAACAGATTAGTCTGTCCTTCAGTGTATGCTGGGTGCCCTTTCCAAATGTAAGTGGACACACAAAGAAAAAAAAGCATACTTAAAGAATATGTATGTATGTATGTATGTATATATGTGACTATGAGAGCAAACCTTTGGAAAGTACCTCTTATTGTTTGACAATGAAATGTCAAAGAATTGTACTCCATAGAATTACTTGCAGTTGTTTTTCAGTAACATTTCCTTCAAAGTTGTTCATCATAAATTGAATCTAAACAGTTGGAAAGCACAATCTAAAAAGAATTTTTTTCCTTTCTGAAGAACTTGGTTAAGATAATACTTGATATGGTATATATGCACTACATATATAGATATGTATAGAGTATGTACATATATGCTGTATATAAATATCTAGGTATATATACATTTACTAGATTTTAGTAGAATTTAATAGAATTTTACTTCTTGTGAGCAAGACTGGAGCTAAAACCAGTAAGATAACAAAGTACTTTTATGTGTATAATTCCTACCTTGTTCCTGTGGAATGAATTCAGGAACTTCAAATCTGTTGTATCTGATATTCCACCATGTAAAATAAGAACTTGATTGTCAATAATAGTAGCAAGAGGAAGCCAGCTGTAGACATCTTCTAGAAGATGCAAAATTGGTTTCCCATAGGTCTGTCAAATAAAATGCTGGGTTAGACACTCTTGAACTGTTCTTTAAGACTTATGGACAGCTTCATTTTGGCTTTACAATAAAATAGGAACAAATGAAGGCAAGTATTTTTAGGACAACTCTAGACCTGTAATTGCTAATGGCCTGGTAATTTATGTAAATCAGCACAATCTGTTCTGTTGCTTTGTTAATTTGATGGCCTTTATCAAAGTGAGATAAAATACTAACCTTATACTTCTTCATAATTTCTTTTGTGAAACCATATCTGAAATGAAAATAATTGTTGGAATACATGCTAGAATGTATTTTGTATTGCAACTACAAGATTATTCAGCCAGTGTATGGCAGTGATTAGCTTGCAACTATGGTTATAATCTTTAGTTCTTTATGTTCTGAGGAGAGTTTCCTGTGACAATTGAAACTGTTAAGCAGCAAGGCTCATGGTGACTGTACATTGTACACTTTATTTGATCTGTATGGCTATGTAACCATCATCTGCTACCAGTCTCCATGGCTGTATAATAATCCTCTGCTACAATTTCTGTTATGTCCACGCAGACGTGAGCAGAGACTTTTCTTCTGCCACGCAGGTGCGGAACATATTTTAATGTTATTGGTTAAAGGCTGATAGTTTTCCTTTAAAAGGGGCTATCAGCCGGAAATTGCATGTTGGTTTTACTGAGTCATTATCTGTAATAAACATTGCTGATGGAAGTTTGGCTTCTTGTCTGTGTTCCTACTCCCACACATTCCAATTTCTATAGAATAAAACAGAATTTTCTAACAGATTATGGGCCCAGCTTCAATCTAGAGATAAACCAGAGGTAAACCCAGTATCCAGATGACTTGGACACAGAAATCCTGATATAATAAAGAAATTAACTGAAAAGGACTATCCAAGTGGAATAAAAGAATAAACCAGGCCACAAGAGGTTTCATTCAGGAGATCCTGAATGGGAAGCACCATGATATCACAACAGTTACACAGGTTTTTTTTTGTTTTTTGTGTTACTGTATAACACACAAGTTACACAGGAGCTTGCTCTTCCTGAGACCATCGTCTGTGACCTGTCCTTAAATGCCACATTTAGATTCTTACTATGTTACAGAGCCCCAGATTATGACATTGAACATGTGATCAAGTTAACTTCACTACTAACATGGGCAGCCTCCTGCCCAAACCCTATAATCTTTCTTGGTGACCTTAATTTGCCACTTATTAATTGGACCCTAAATGAATGTACAACTGAACCTATATATGCAACCCTGTACAATACTGTAACTAATCTGGGACTTGATCAACTACTTGATCATCTAGTAACTAACTGCCTTGATCTCATCTTCTGCAACAGTTTAAACTCAATTTATGGACTACAAATAAAAGAACAATTCTCCAATAGTGACCACAGCATGATTGACTTTGTCTCAACTTACGCCCTCACAAAAATCATCATAATGATGGGATTCCCAGTTATAACTTTCAAAAAGCCAACTACAATCTCATAAACAATGAACTCTTATCTCTTGATTGGCAAATTCTATTCACTGGCTGTAATACTGCTGACGACCATTACAATATTTTCTTGTGCGATTCAATGATTCAAAAGAATCATTAAACTTTAAGTACCACTAATATCCCCAAAACCAGAAAAAATAAACTACCAATAACAATAAGGAAACTAAAATCCAGAAAAAAAATCTCTTTGGCAAAAAAACAAAACTAACTAGGTAGTTAACTTCAAAAACCGATACAAAAACCTATGCCAACAAATAAAGACTGAATGCACTAATTATCACATCAAGCAAGAGGAAAACCTTCTTCGCACAAAATCCACCCGTGCCTTCTATAATTTTGTAAACAACAAACTTAAAGACTTGAGATCCATCCTACCCCTAAAAGGACCAAACGATGAAGGCTGTATTGATGAAACCGTTAAAGCCAATCTCTTTAACACGTTCTTTGGCTCGGTCTTTTTAAACAGCAACAACACATACCCAATATTTCCCAGTCATAATGCAGACAATTACAATGATTATGGTGATCTTATACGACAATGTTGAATAGGCACTATGCAATCTAAAACCATCTTTATCTATTGGACCTGATGGACTATGTGCATACTTCTTAAAAAAGCTTTCCACTGCACTTGCAGAACCTCTAAGCATAATTTTTGAAAAATCTTTCAGCACCAGCTCCTTGCCCTACCAATGGTCACAAGCTACGGTCATCCATATCTTCAAAAAGGGAGACCCCAGCCTAGTTGAAAATTACAGACCAATCTCTTTATGTTGCATCACCTGCAAAGTCATGGAATCAATCATTAACCAATCTATTACCCTCCACCTAGAGACAAACAACCTACTCTCCAACAAACAGTTTGGTTTCAGAAAAAAAATATCCTGTAATCTACAATACTACATTGCAAAAACATGTACTACACATCTTGATCAGGGCAAAGCAATAGACGCAATTTACATAGACTTCTGTAAAGCTTTTGATTCAGTGGTACACAACAAATTACTTCTAAAACGAAAATCCAATGGCATTTCTGGACTCCTACATGAATGGATAGCTGCCTTCCTGTCAAACAGACAACAAATGGTCAAAATAGGAAGCTCTCTATCAAATCCTGTACCTGTTAATAGTGGTATTCCCCAAGGCAGTGTTTTAGGTCCAACACTCTTCATACTGAATGACCTTTGCAATCATGTTAAAAGCAACTGTGTTCTCTTTGCTGATGATGTTAAACTATTCAACACCACTGACAATGCAACTACCCTTCAAAAAGACCTTGACTATGGGTCAGATTGGTCTAACAAGTGGCAACTTCAAATCTCAACCAACAAATGCTCTGTCTTGCACATTGGCAAAAAAAATCAAAACATAAAATACAAATTAGATGGACATGACCTTGTAGATGACCCTCACTCTGTCAAGGACCTTGAAGTACTCATTTCTAAAGATCTAAGTGCCAAAGTCCACTATAACAACATTGCCAAAAAGGCATTAAGAGTTATCAACCTAATCTTCCGTAGCTTCTTCTCTGGTAATATTGTACTACTAACTAGAGCATACAAAACATTTGCTAGACCAATTCTCGAATACAGCTCATCTGTCTGGAACCAGCACTGCACATTAGACATAAATACAATTGAGAGAGTCCAGAGATATTTTACGAGAACAGTCCTCCATTCCTCTAACCGCAATAAAATACCTTATGCCACCAAACTTCAAATTTTGGGCTTAGAAAACTTAGAACTACGCTGACTTCAGTCTGACATAAGTGTAGTACATAAAATTATCTGACACAATGTCCTATCTGTCAATGACTACTTCAGCTTCAACCACAACAATACACGAGCAAATAATAGATACAAACTCAAGGTAAACCGCTCCAAACTCGATTGCAGAAAATATGACTTCAGTAACAAAGTGGTCAATGCCTGGAATGCACTACTTGACTCTGTGGTTTCTTCCCCAAACCCCCAAACCTTTAATCTTAAACTGTCTACTGTTGACCTCACCCCATTCCTAAGAGGGCGTGTATAAGTGCACCAGTGTGCCTACCGTCCCTGTCCTAATATTCCTTTTTACTCTTACTCTTTTTGTGTATTCAAATTATGTTTATACTTTTACCTGTTATCTTATATATGCTTGACAAAATTAATTAATTAATTAATTAATGGTGATATTGAAGAGGAACTATATATGACACAGCCAAAAGGATATGTGAAAAGTGAAGAAGAACATCTTGTGTGCAAGTTGCAGAAATCTCTTTATGGACTCAAGCAATCAGCTCAAGCATGGAATTTAAAAAATAAACAAAGTCTTACTAGACAAAGGATTCATATGAAGCAGAGATGACCCATTTCTATACCCAAAATGTGAAGATTCTAAATATATGTATATTACTCTATGTGGATGACTTGATTATTGTTTACAAAAGAGATGAGAAAATTGCAAAGTTGACTGCAATGCTTAACTAACATTTTAGACTAAAGGTCTTGGATATGTGATCTATTACCTAGGAATTAATGTACAGCATAAAGAAATAGCAGCTTCCTGTTAAATCAGAAATCTAAAATTGCTTCAGCAGACGCATGAGTAAACCAGTCAAAGACAATGGACATCAATCAAGAGAGTCATAAGATATCTCAAACAAACAAAGGATTTAAGTCTGAAGCTATCTGCAGTCAGTGATTTGAACCTTGTAGGATATGTGGACTCTGACTGGGCAGGTGACCTAAATACTTGTAAATCCACAAATGGTTACTTGTTCAAATTAGGAAATAGTGCTATATCTTGGTCCAGCAAGAAGCAAACCTCAGTAGTTTTGCCTTCTACAGAGGCAAAATACATTGCTACTGCCTATGCCAGTCAAGTAACTGTGTGGTTACATCAATTGCTTGAAGATCTTGGAGAGACAATCTCCCAGCCTACAGTCTTATATAACTGATGTCATCGTTCCAAGTAATGAACTCAAGGAATCAGGATCTGACACTTTTTGCAGGTTAAAGAGATCTTTTACTGAGTGCATCATATCGAAACTTAGAAAGGTGAAGCTAGCTCTAAATTATTCCCGCATGCAGGGATAGTGTTGTGACTCCGACCCCCGAGCCTGTCTTATCAGAGGGAGAAGACTCCGAAAGTGAAGGAGAGGAGTTGGCAAGGCCTCCCTCTCCAGGATCCTCCTCTCTGGCAATGCCTCAGGTGTCCTCCAAAGGCCAAGAGATAGGCCAGGGGACAGGCACTTCGGAGCAGCCGCAGTTAGACAGCGATGGAGATGAGTCTTGGCTGGACCCCTGACAGCATTGTAGAGATATGCGCGCGCAGCAGAGGAAGAGGCGTGCCAGAGATTAAGCTGAGTCACTGGACCACACCCCACAGGGGATAAAAGGGGGTTTAGTGGCCAGTCAAGCCTTGTGACAAACAAAACTGAAAGCTAGCAAGGCATTCTGCATTTCTGGAACTTTGTTATATGCTCTGCTTGGATTGATTTTTGGACTGGACTTGACTATTCTTTGGCTTTTGTGGACTTACTTTGATGTTTCGGACGGAGGAGAAAAACTTCCCTTTGTAAGTAAAAACTTTTGGCAAGCAGCCACTGGGTTGCTGCCAATTCTGTTATCAAAGGAAATTCTTGTCTGCTGGTTTATTTTAACTCTTGGTCGACTGCTGGTGTGCGTGTGTGAGACGGGGACAGAACAGATAGTTAAAAGAATAAGATCTCCCCACTGCCCTTTGTCTCTCAGGTCAACATGGGCCATTCAACAAATATCCATTGAAATGACCTTGGTACACACACTGGCTGGGAGATGTTGTGACTAGCCAACTGAGACACCACATTCCTGAGTCCCCCACCCTTCTCTCCCTCCTCCCCCCTGAATGGCAACCAAGAAACGAAACAGAAGTAAGCATGGCTTCGGCTGAAGTCGTTTTGCAGGTTGACAATTGTAATAAGGATGTATTAAACTTGCCACCAATGACAAGATAAATGCAAGAACAAAGTATATCGATGTCAAATATCATTACATTCATGATCTGACTGAACAAAATGAAATTGTATTTACGTATTGTGAAACTAATAACATGAATGCAGATGTTTTGACAAAACTGCTAATAAGAAGCAGATTTATAGATCTGAAGCAGAAATGGGACTATTATAAGGAGTAGTTGTTGAGTGGGAGTGTTGGAATACATGTTAGAATGTATTTTGTATTGTGACAACTACAGGATTATTCAGTAGTAGATGGTAGTGTTTAGTTTGCATCTATGGTTATTGTGATGGAGGAGGCCTCGATGGACCGTAACCTTATCTCTTTTACAATCTACTAGAACCAATGAGCCTCATGAGCAGTTTACACTAAACTATTTTTATTTACATAAAATAAAACAAGGTCTATTCAAGAAGAATATTAGATGTCATTCTCTTTCTTAAGTGTCCTGTCAGCTCTCTGGTGCAATCGCTCTATGTGATTGGAGTTCGGGCTTTTCTTCCTCAGAAAGAAGAGGCTTTAGTGACGTCAGCTCTGCCTCTGATCCCGAAGAGAAAATGTCTGCTGGCAAGTATCTCCTTTTATACTGTCACAGTGGCAGTTAGGGGACTGCATAGAAAAGCCCGGGAGATTCAAAGCCAGGAGCTGCTCTCTGATTGGCTTATTTAATTGTCTAAGCCAAAGGCCATTAATAGGCACAGCAACTGTGAGGGGATTTTCTCTCACAGTTATAATCTATGTTTCTTTATGTGAGTTTCCTGTGACAGTTGAAACCATTAAGCAGCAAGGCTCATTGTGACTGTACATTGAACACTTTATTTGATCTGTATGTCTATGTAATGAAAGGATTAGAGCATATACAGTGTACCTAATTCAACTTTTGATATTCCTTGCTGCTGAGAGAAGCTCCATTAGGTCTATGCAGATAGACCTAATGCTCTATCTGCATAGATAAAACCTCCAGGCTGCCAAATAGCCTTCCTAAAGTAACTTGGTGTAAATGCAAAATGTGAATTCTGCCTGTTTGCTGTAACATAATGAGAGATAATAATGCTAACAAAGCTCTGGGCTATATGCCAGAAAATGTATTCCTTTCCCCTACTAAAGTCCTTTGTTTTCAGAGTGCTGAGAAAAATCATGAGGTTTGCATGAACTAATGGATATGAAATAATGTTTCTATAGCAATGATGATCTATGCAAGCAATATGTGTAGACTATAAAAAAGAAAAAGTTTTAGTTAGTGCACGTGCCTGCTTTTCTCTCTGCCTGCTCTGTTTAAGGTGGGAGACAAAAAGGTCACCCAGTTTTACTTTCTGATCTGAAAAATAAAGCTGATTATCAGTTGTTTCATGTTCAAAGTTTCATTGGATTTATCAGTTTCTGAGCTGCACACAAAAATCTTACATAACCATTAGGACATGTCAAATTTTTCAACTTTCAATTTCAAATCATTAGGGGTGCTGAAACATTGTGACATGTCTTGGGGATTGTAAAGACATTTTGGTTACTTTAATATAATTTAGATGTGCTTGGTAAGTAACTACATAAATATCATAACTTTTTAACATTTTGTTTGTTTCATTACCATCCACTGCTATTAATCTGTATGGCTATATAATAATCCTCTGCTACAATTTCTGTAGAATAAAATTAATGAGTACTTTTATACAATTAATAACTGTGTAAAGCACATTGCCTATAAGAAATATTTTTAATTCTATATCATATGTCTGTGTTTGGAAATGAAAAAGCTGACCCGTTAGTATTATCAGTATATGACCGTGATGGTGAACCTATGGCACATGTGCTACAGTTGGCACGCAGAGCCATATCTGCAGGCACATGAGCCGTTGCCCTAGCTCAGCTCCGCTAGCTGATTTTCAGGTGGCCCCGCCCACGTTGCCCCTCTTCTCCCAGGAGTCCCCACGGGGTTTGTTTTGGATGCCAGGTAAGTACAGGGCTCACAAGGAGGCTCTGGGAGGGTGTTTTCGGCCTCCGGAAGGCCTCCCCAGCCTCCAGGAAAGCTTCTGGAACCTGGGGAGGGCGAAAAATGGGCCTACTGGGCCAACTGGAAGTTGGGAAATGGGCTATTTCCGGCCTCTGGAGTGCCTCCAGGGGGATGGGGGAGGCCGTTTTCACCCTCTGGAGGCTCCAGGAAAGCTTCTGGAACCTGGGGAGGGTGAAAAACGGGTCTACCGGGCCTACCGGAAGTCAGGAAATGGGTCATTTCTGGCCTCCGGAGGGCCTCCAGGGGGGTGGGGGAGGCTGTTTTTGCCCTCTGGAGGCTTCAGGTAGGCCTCCTAGGCCCAAAACAGGGCACAGGAGGGTCATGCGCGCATGCACGGGGAAGTGCGGGAGGGTTGCGTTCGCATGCACGGGGGTTGAGATGGGGGGGATATTGAATTATGGTGTGGGCACGTACGACAACACCCCCCCCCATGTTCCCACCCGCTTTGGCATGCAATGGCAAAAAGGTTAGCCATCATTGGTGTATGATAATGCAGTTATAACCCCAATATATTTTCTGAAACTGATTCCTGCCATATTTTCTCTGGCATTTAAGATACAGAAAAACTGTCCTCCTTTCACTGAAAAGCAGCTTGTAATTTATATCTTCTCTGCTATAGATATACAATTTTATTTTTAGATACATAGGAATGTTGACCAGTGTAGTTATATCTTAAAGAAGTTAAACAATATATTCACACACTTTTTCTAATTTAAATTAGAAATTATAAAATAATCTGGCATTAAACTAAAGTACTTTTAAAAGTGCTCAAAGTTCAAATTTAAAATGCCTCCAAATAATTTTATTCCTGCTTCTGTTTAATCTAAAACACATGATAACAAAGTGAGAACATATTTATTCAGATAGTGGGGTGTTTCATTAGAAATGTATAAACATATCTGATCCTACTCACAGTGACAACAAAAAGATAAAATATTGTGACATTACAAGTAGTCTGAGGTTATAACGGCAATTGGAACTGAAATTTCTATTGCTAAGTGATGTGGACATGAAGTGTGATGTCATGTGACCACATCACAAACAACGGCAACTGCAGCAGTCCTAGTTGCTGCTATAACTCCAGGACCATAAAGGTTGTTAAGCAAGAAACTCATATGATCATGATCAGTGGTGAAATTCAGCCATCTCTATTCGGATCGCGCGATCCGGTAGCACTGGTGGCGGGAGGCTCCACCCACCCACCTGGATGTCATCACGTCCCATTTTTGACCCTCTGTGCATGCTCACATTTGTGAAGTGAGTGCATGTGAGTGCTCACATTTGTGAACCAGTAGCGAAGGTAAGTGAATACCACCCCTGATCATGATGTGGAAAGAGGCAGGAGTCTTAGGCAAGCTGTCTGATGGGTGATAGCTATAGGTAGGGAATGTGGGTGCCATAGGTGGGTAGTATGGAACATGGGCAGGGGTGAGTATGGAGTATGGGTAGTATGGAGCATGAGCAGGTACTATGAACTGAGTGGGTGTTGAGGGTGGGCGCTACAGAATGCAGGAAGGTGAGAGTGCTGTGGGCACTACAGAGTCTTGACAGGTGCTGCTGCTTGGTGAATGCCGTACGCTATCGATGGGCAGGTACTGCAACAGGTACAATGGAGTGTGGGGAGTGGGTGGACACTATCGAGCATGGCAGGCAGGTGAAAACGCAGTGAGAATGGAAGTGACTTGAGACTTCTGCCAGCTTCCAAATTGACCTGGTTTGTGAGAATCCTGCCTGTAGGGAAGGTTGCAACTGGTAATCACATGACAGTGATCACATGCAACCATCCTAATTGCAAGCTGATGCTAAGCATCTGAAGCAGGGATGCCATATTGGTTATAATTTCATGGATGAGTTGTAAGTTCCCCTTGTTAAGTGTCATCATAACTTTTAACACTCACTGAGCCAATGGTTGTAATCCAATTACCTACATATGGAAGCTCCACCCTTTGTTAACTGCATTGCACACAGCACCCGCCAACCCAATTGTGGTAAGGGGTGGACTTCACATCAACAGGAACATTTTGTCACCCCCTTGCATACACTGATGCATAGGCATGGTCTATGCATGGTCTGTGGTCTAAAATGGGTGGGAAACAATGGCCCTTGCTTACTCAGGAATTCTGAGAGTTGAAGTCCACAAGTCATAAAAGGGCCATCGTTCCCCACCCCTGATCTAAAATAATGCATGAGGAAAGTATAAGAAAATACAGTTTCAAATACCAACACAACAAGAAAATCAGGGTTAGGTCAAAAACAATGTCAAGCTTTCAGAAACAGAACAGAACAGAACAGAATAGAATTTTTTATTGGCTAAGTGTGATTGGACACACAAGGAATTTGTCTTGGTGCATATGCTCTCAGTGTATATAAAAGAAAAGAAAAGTTACGTTCACCAAGAATCATAAGGTACAACACTTAATGATAGTCATAGGATAGAAATAAGCTTTCAGAAAGAAAATATATTTAAGAGCTCAAGCTGGAGAAAGAATAAAAATGGCCATACCTAAGATTCATGAGGTGGTCCTCATGATTCCCTCTGTTCAGATGGAAATGGTTAGGATAAACAAGGAGAAATGCAAACAGGATTATAAGTATTTCCATGGAATTTTTCCCTCTGTCAACAAAATCACCGTTAAAAACATAAGGGTTTTCCTCTGAAGGAAGGCCATTCTGCAAAAGAAAAGAAAACATCAGAGTAGTTAACATTGCAATGTAATATAAGAATATCCGTGCAACATTACAGCACTGCTGTTGTAGACAAAATAACGGACTAGAACAAGCTCTTCAGTGCAGAAAAGAGTTTTTATTTGCGCAAGGTTCAAACAGTCCGAAGACCACGAAAAAGTCTGAACGCCGATGGCTTCTTCTGGCCATGTATTTATACAGTTTAAAGGCAAAAGTATTACAGAGAGTGATGCATTTCACACGTAGAAGCTACCCTTTAATCTATCTCTAGGAAAGACATAACAGCCCTGTTCCCACAGGCTCAGGCTTTCAGCTCCGGAGCTCAAGACATAATAAAAGAGGAGATAAGGGGCTCAAAGGCGCCTCAAGAGCAGTAAAGAGGACAGTAAGGGAAGCAGTATTTCTTCTCTAGGATATACATGACATTTGGGGTGTAATAAACATTAAACAACAGGATGTATCTGTTTAGGGTCAGTTTGCCCTTTTACAATTCTGTACCTACGTCAAATACCGTTTGTCAATTCAGCACCTTGGCATGGAAGAGGCACTTCTGTCTTAACCAAAGATTTGGATTTCTAATATTTGAGTTTTATCCCAATATCGAATCTTAGCCTGGCTCATACCACCCTTTGTGACTCATCTGTTTATCCAGACGAGTCACACCATAGGTCCTCTTCCTGCTGGAGCCGTTTGTAATCCCACATAGCCATCACCTGAGCATTGTCTTATGTTCCACCAGCAAGGATAGACTTTTAGAGATAGTTTTAACAAACAGAGGTAAAATACATGGGAGAAAAATACACCCCGCAGCTATTAATCCTACCAGGCCAAAGATGGCCTGCAGGCCAGGTAATTTTGGCCACCATCCTGAAAACATATCCTGTAAATTAAGACCTTTCCAAGTCTGGACTGGCACATGAGCTATTTTAACCATTTTGTCTGTTATTTCCTTAATAACCTTTCCGCTTTCATCAACTTCTACACAGCAATTAGTCAAATTAAACTTTCCACATACCCCTCCTTCCTTGGCTAACAAATAATCGAAAGCTAACCTATTCTGCATAATATATGTCCTTGATTTGACACTTTCCCTAGCTAATTGAGTAAGACCTTTTACAGTTTCGTTGGTGATGATTTCAACCACAGCTTGCAGACGAATTAAACGGTTCAGAATGTGTATAGGGGTCCGATAGCCATACATGCCGTCCTCCGCCCATGTAGCCGGTCCATAAACCTCAATAATTCGCTCTGCAGGCCATTCTACACTTCCCCAACCACGTTGGTTACCTCCGACCCTAACTTTTCCTATTGCAGATGTGTCTACATGTCTTCTTTGTCTTAAGTGTCCCACCTCATCATATACCGGGACACCTAACACCTGTCCGGTTTTAAGGGGAAGCAAAAAGAATCCTGGTCCAATTATTCCCAGGACACAAGCTCCACACCAAGATTTTGGTAGAACCCCATATGCCATCTTACCACATATCCAGTATAGTCCATCAGGAGCCAGCCATTCAAGGGTCTGATTATCTGGATCCTTTAGAAAGGATAACCCGTTTACTTTAAACAGGGCCATTTCATCAGTTCCCTCTGTGGCATTAGCTCCTGACCACCATACCTTACTTTCCCATTTTCCTGTACATATGAGGTTTCCCACCTGATGACAGCCTGGCACAATTTTTCTCCGAAAACAAACATTCCCTACCAGACTAGTAGTCAAGGTCCAGTCTCCATCCTTACCCTTATTATATGACAGATTACCTTTCTGATCCATTTCTAATATTTTGGAATAATTTAATTCCTTGAGCTTCCCATGGCCATTTTTCTCCCATGTTAGTTCCTCCACAAACAAAACAATTCGATACATTCAGAGTGTGGGCTATGTCTTCTGCCAATTTGACAAAGGTATTTGTTACATAGCTAGGGATTTCGGGTATATTCAGCTTTTCCATTTTCAGATAATATTACAAGGGTTCAGGATTTATTACCAAATAATGTACTAACACCTCCTCTATAATTTTCACGTCCCACTCTACCTTACAGCTTATACATAAAACACAATCAATACCGTGAGTGCAACAACAACACTCACACCCACAATTACAAAACCAACACAATTAAAAAAAAAATTATTTTTTCTGTTCCTTTGCATCAAAAGGCAGCTTCCAGGGTGTCCTAAGCAGGGACTTCTTTCATCTGTAAGAGGTTCACACTCCGCAGCCGGTTGGGGAAATATTAGGAATCGGAACGACTGAGAAATCAAATGGGCCCTGGTTGTCCACAAAACCATTGCTTATATCTGTAAAACACAATAATCAATAAAGCTACTACCCCAATTACTCAAAGTGCCCAAACCCAATTTTCCTCCCACATGGATCCGCAATAATCTTCAATCTCTTGTCAGGATCCAAGTTCCGGACTAATTCAAGAGAGCAGGTGCTCCATCCTCTTTTTAGCTTACAGCGGGTTACATCAGCAGATATACATCAAGGTAACCTATATATAGAATACAAAAGCTTTCTTTAAGCACATTCAAATGTCAGTTTTGTTGGATGTTGTTTGTCCACGGACACTTTCCAGCCGGTGTCAGCTGCTGCCTTGACTCATGTCCGATAGATCCATGATTTTGATTCTGCAATCTTAATAGCAAGTGGAGAAGTCATGATACCAATAAAAGATCCCTTCCATCTTCCACTTGGTCCCCAGGTTCAAATGAGTGACGTTAAGTTACTAATCTAGGGGGTACTTATTCCATCACATATTGTTGGAATCTCTCAATTTGCTTATTAAGTTCTTGTACCATCTCCATATTCCAAACCCCCCCCTTTATGACCTAAATCAGGCCACCTAACATACATATTTACCTTATTTTACCATATTTACATGGTCGGGTGGAATAAACCTCCAATACCTGTAAACAATCATGCTCAGAAACAGACTCCGTAGGCAACAAAGTTGCTGGATTTAATCGGTTAGACACCACCAGACACACCTGTGGATTCTCACTCCTAATTGCATGATATTTTGTCAGCCTTTGCCCACTAATCCACAAATGTCCCTTAGTATCCAACACAGACTGCTCCTCATGAGGGGAGTGCATGAGTATAGGACAAGAAAAAGTAAGTTTATTACAATTCTGAATCAATTCTGCACTTGCAGCCAGCACCTTCAAACAGTGGGGCCAGCTTTTTAGCCCCCTCCCCATCCAATTACAGCAAAAGCTAGCTAGTCCTAAAAAAGCTTCTCAGTTGTCTTTTTGTTCGGGGTTCTACCAGCATTAGGACCGCCCTTTTCTGCTCTGGTCCTAAAGCTCGATGACCCTTATATTGTATCCCAAATATCTAACTTTCCTTTTCACCAATTGAGCTTTCTCTCTTGCCACCCAATAACCACACTCTAGTAACAAATCTAACATCCTCGTGCATTCATCTTAGTATTCTCCCATCATAAATCCTCTGTCAGTCCTGTTGATCCAAACATCATCAACATATTACAGTATTGTGTCTCCTGGTTGTTGAGGCACCTAATACTGTAAGTCTCTAGCTACCGCTATTCCAAACAATGTGGGGGAGGTCTTAAATTCCCGAGACAACCGAGTCCCAGTATATTGCATTTTCATTCCTGTATAAGGATTCTCCCACTCAAAATGCAAACAGTGGCTGGCTTATGGGGTGAATGGGAATTGTAAAGAATGCATCCCTTAAATCAATAACAGAAAACCACTCAGCCCGGGGTGGAATTAAACTTAACAGGGTATATGGATTCAACACGGCCGGGTGTAAAGTTACCGTGCCCCGGGCTGTAAGACCCATCTAACTGTTTAATTGGGATAATTGGAGTATTCCAGGAGGACTAAATAGGCACCAAAAACCACGCCTCCAAATCTCTGAATGCTTTCATAAATAGCACAAATAGCTTCCCAAGAAACGGGACGCTGCCTTATACTCACAGACTCCACTCCAGGTTTTAGTTCCACCCCCACTGGAGGGTGGCGAGCTGCAAAACCCGGCAGGTTATCCTCAGCGCACATCAAACAACCTCCAAATCTCCTCCGGAGAATGCCTTGTGGTCATTCTCTAACTATCTTCATCAAAAGAAATTGTTGCCCCAATTTGCTCAGCATATCCCTGCCTAGCAATGGAATAGGGCACTCAGGAATGTACAAAAATTCATGCTGGATTTCAGCTTCCTTAAAATCACACATCTCTGATTTCAAGACCTGCCGCCCCATGGCTTGCCCTGATACCCCCTGGACCTGAATTTTATGGGATCCGGGGGGCTGCAATCTGCTTATTTACAACTAATCTTCCTGCTCCCATATTTATCAGAAACGTTCTGTACTGACCCCCTATTTTCATTGTAACTAATGGCTCAGGCAGGGGTTCTTCCAAGCCTGGTCCCCCTCAATCTGACCAAGTCATGTCTGCCAATCCAATACTCTCCGCTTCTCTTGGTTCGGCACCCCCTCTTGTTCCTCTACCAAAGCCTCGTCCCAAGCCTCTTTGTCCAAATCCTCTATTCAAGCCTCCTCTCATTCCTCGTTCTCCCCTTCTTCCTGCAAACTGCCCACGCATCCCTGACCCAAAATCCGCTCTTCTCATCCCTCTATTTCTCACCATCTGTCTTGGGCATTCCTTTTCCCAAGTAATTCCTTTTCCCAAATAATTTTATTTCTATACCACCCTTCTCCCGAAGGACTCAGGGCAGTGTACAGCCTATTTTGTTTAAAAAATAAGACAAACACCAGAAAGGAGAAAAAAAGTTTTAAAAGCATCTCTTTTCCTCTTTCTCCCCTCCAAAGGAAGGGGGGGAGAAAAACCCCCTTGCATCCCACTTCGCAGTGCTCCTGCCAACAAAGCAGCCTTTTTATTCATCCGTGCCTCCTGCTCTTTCTTCTCCACCTACAGCCCCCACAGCCTCCAAATCCTCATCATCATCATCCCCCTTTCCCTCACTCTGACTGCTACCTCTAGGCGAATGACTCCCCTTGACTTTTGACTTCACGCCAGGATCACTCATACGCCTCTGATTTCCTCCTCCGCTCCCTCCAGCAGCCCCCTTACTTTTCCTGCCTGCTCAGATACACATAACCCGACTGTTTCAGCCCTACATTGCAATAAATCCTCAGCTTTTTTCAACAGGGGTCTCACCCATTGATCAATATATTGAAATTGATCAGGATATTTATCCTGATTCACTACAATCACTCCCCACAACTTATCCACTGTTTCTTCCCTTAACCATCCCTGAGGGGGAGGGGGTCAGCCCATCTCCCTTTGTGGCCACACATATTTACATAAGAATTTTAATTGATCCTTTGATCCTTTCGGATAGGAAGGGTTGCTAAAATACTTGTCAAAACCTTTTAACATGCATGCCAACGGAGTATTTGGCACGCTCTGAACCCCATCCCTTCTACCACACTGCCGTCGACTCATAGCCCCGGAAACTCACAGCCACTAATGAGAAATGCGACGGCTTAACCACCCACACAACCTGACATGGACTTCATTAGGGTAGCCTACCCCGAGTCCGAGGGAGTGATCAATTCCCTCCTTCTGCTTTCATATGAAGCAGGTACAATTCTTTTACAATATACTCACTTAAAAACGCTCCCACTCCGTGGATTCCTGGCCAGGAATTTGTTCAGACCACCTTTCCTGCACCGCAGGGTTCTTGGACTCGATCAGAGCACCGTCGGGGCCATAGGGTTATCGCGGCTGTCTCCCGGAGACGTATCTCCGTGGCGCCTGGAGAATGTTCAGGAGCGACCTCCCAATGGTCCCGAGGGGTCAAAACGGTCCTCAGCGAAATATCGCCTTGCCCCCAGTCCCGGCGGCGTCGCCAGCTGTTGTAGACAAAATAACGGACTAGAACAAGCTCTTCAGTGCAGGAAAGAGTTTTTATTTGCGCAAGGTTCAAACAGTCCAAAGACCACGAAAAAGTCTGAACGCCGATGGCTTCTTCTGGCCATGTATTTATACAGTTTAAAGGCAAAAGTATTACAGAGAGTGATGCATTTCACACGTAGAAGCTACCCTTTAATCTATCTCTAGGAAAGACATAACAGCCCTGTTCCCACAGGCTCAGGCTTTCAGCTCCGGAGCTCAAGACATAATAAAAGAGGAGATAAGGGGCTCAAAGGCGCCTCAAGAGCAGTAAAGAGGACAGTAAGGGAAGCAGTATTTCTTCTCTAGGATATACATGACATTTGGGGTGTAATAAACATTAAACAACAGGATGTATCTGTTTAGGGTCAGTTTGCCCTTTTACAATTCTGTACCTACATCAAATACCATTTGTCAATTCAGCACCTTGGCATGGAAGAGGCACTTCTGTCTTAACCAAAGATTTGGATTTCTAATATTTGAGTTTTATCCCAATATCAAATCTTAGCCTGGCTCACTACTGTATAATATTCTTTCATAGTGTAGGAAGTTAGCAACCACCCCTCCCCTAGAAAAATGAAATATTCTAGGAAATATTAAAAGGCAGAATATTTCCCCTAAAAGAGAAATAGAAATCTTAAGACAGAAACTCAGCCCCAACTCCCTGCCCCCAGCAGATACTTTGGTTATTTGCAAGACAAAAGGCTTATCTACAACAGAAAAGCAAAGACATTAAGCCAATTCCTATGAATTGCCCAAAGCCCCTTCATTACATCATCACCCAGCAAGATTCAACCAGGCCTGGTACACAGACAGCCTACAAAGTTAGCTAAGGTCCCCGCCCTCTGGGAGTCTGACAGCCAATGGGATACATTTCTTGTACAGGAACATGAAACTCTAAGGCAGGGCCCAAGAGAGTGTATAAATATATCCCTCTTTCCACTCCATGTGCTCATTTTGCCCAGAACCCAAAAAAATCTATGTGGTCCTATCCACCATTAAACAATCTTTCCAAGCAGTCTCCATATTTCCAGTGTCTTTCTTTCCACTTGGAACTGAACCCAGATGGACATTTCTTCCAACAATAGCAACACTTTTCCAATTCTGCCACAGGTCATATTAGCAGGAAGTGCTATATGATGCCATCAATCATGAAAGCATTATACATACCCTTATCTAATTTTTGAGACTCTATGTCAATATAATGGATCATTCAATAATTTTTTTACATCCACATATCCCTCCAAATAGCACTCAAGAGCACTCGAGAAAAATGATAATATAAAATACTCCATTATAATTAAAATAAAACATATCAACTGAAAACATATAAATAGAAAAGAAATAAACATCCATCACTAACCTACTTCAGCATACAAATCAACTTCCGTATAAGGACAATATAGTCTTAGCTGAGCCAATCTTGGCAAGTAATTCTAATATAAATCGGTGTTAAAATATGTTTTATATTTTACTGTCTGTATTGTTATTACAGTGAAGTTATTATGACAATTATTTATTACATTTAGAATCTGCTTTACCAAAAAGAAATTGAAGACATTTTAAAAATTTCTTTTCTCCAATGCAATCCTTACTTGTGAGGCATTTCAATTTTATATAAATATAATATAATAATATTTTGTGAGAGATATGTACTTCCATTCTCACGTGCATGTCAGCTCTCACCTGCCCATGTAATTAGGAATAAGTTTGTAGTACTAAAAGCCAAAGCTTCTCAGAACACACTTGTTGGAGCAGTGAACTAAAAGTGTCCTCAATAGCAAATGAAACACATTCTGAAAATATATGCAAGTTACATTTATCCAGGCTGGGAAAACTGTTGCTTTGGGGGGTTTGTAATATTAACTTTTAAAGCATCTTTAAATCTGACATTAGATTTGTTAGATCAGGTGCAGGAAATGAAGACGTGACCAGCTCGATACATTTAGTAACTTTATTTGTTACAAAAGTACAAGACAAGACTGCTGGTGCGCTGCCGGAGCTCTCCTTATATTCGCTCCTGGCAGACGCACCACCCCTTGACAGGGATTCAAATCTCCCGCCCGATGGCTAGCAGCCAATCAGGGCGGATGTCCTTATAAGGACATAACAAGATTTAAATAGTAAATGCAAAACTTCCCATCTGTTTTAAAATATAATAAGACTTTCCTGTCTCCATTTGCTTTTCTCAAGCATGTAACAGCTTTACCTTTAGTTACTGCCCTTTGCAAATAAAATGAAATTGAAATCCTTTGCAACAAAATACAGCTTGTTTGTGGAGCTAAGATTGCTCCTATTTCATTAGATAAAAATAATAAAAATTGAAATAATAGCAATAGCACTTAGATTTATATACCACTTCATAGTGCTTTACAACTGTCTCTAAGTGGTTTTACAGATTCAGCACATTGCCCCCAACAATCTGGGTCCTCCTTTTACTGACCTGGGAAGGATGGAAGGCTGAGTTAAGCTTGAGCTGTTCAGAATCGAATTGCTGGAATTATTATTATTATTATTATTATTATTATTATTATTATTATTATTATTATTATTATTATTATTATTATTATTTATTTATTTATTTATTTATTTATTTATTTATTTATTTATTTATTGAACTTCTATACTGCCCTTCTCCCAAAGGACTCAGGGCGGTGTACAGCCATATTAAAACACATATAAATCACAAAATTTAAGAACAATTTAAAAACAAATATATAAAATTGGGCCCACGAGATTTAAAAACTAACAAACACCCAATTTAAAAATTCCTATTAGGCCAGCCCGGCTTGTTGAAATAAAAGAGTCTTCAGGGTGCGGCAAAAGGTACGCAGGTCGGGAATCATACGGACCTCTAGGGGCAGATCATTCCAGAGGGCTGGTGCCCCCACAGAGAAGACTCTCCCCCTGGGTGTTGCCAGTCGACATTGTTTGGCCGACGGCACCCTGAGGAGCCCCCCCGTGGGAGCGTATTGGCCAGTGGGAGGCTATCGGTGGCAGAAGGCGATCTCATATATACCCTGGTCCTAAGCCATGGAGTGCTTTAAAGGTGGTTACCAACACCTTGAATCGCACCCAGAAGACCACTGGGAGCCAGTGCAGCTCGCGCAGGAGAGGTGTTACATGGGTGCGCCATGTCGCCCCCATAATCACCCGCGCGGCCGCATTCTGGACCAGTTGGAGCCTCCGAGTGCTCTTCAAGGGGAGCCCCATGTAGAGAGCGTTACAGTAGTCCAGATGGGATGGGACGAGGGGATGAGTGACCGTGCGCAGGGCATCCCGGTCCAGAAAGGGACGCAACTGGTGTATCAGGCGAACCTGATAAAAAGCTCCCCTGGCCACAGCCGTCATATGCTCTTCCAAAGACAGCCGTGCATCCAGGAGAACACCCAAGTTGCGAGTCTCTCTGAGAGGGCCAAGATCTCGCCCCCAATAGTCAGCGATGGAACCAGCTGACTATACCAGGACGCTGGGAACCACAACCACTCAGTCTTGGAAGGACTGAGTCTGAGCTTGTTTCTCCCCATCCAGATCCGCACGGCCTCCAGGCACTGGGACATCATGTCAAGGGCATCAGTGGGATGGTCCGGGAATGAGCAGAGAGTTAGTCTGCAGTACTGTATTCTAACCACTGCGCCAGTGGTAGGTGGGGCGAACCAGTAGCAGCAGTGGCAGGAGGCTCTGCCCACCCACCCGAACGCTTCTGTGCATGTGCAGAAGCTTCATGCACGCGCGAAAGAGCGTGCACACCCCGAGCGAACCGGTAGTGACGGGTTTTGAAACCCACCCCTACACTGCGCCACTGCCAAATAAATAGAACATCTGTGGTATATATAAATATATCAAGCTACAATGTAACTATAAATATTAAAATATCCAAAAACACAATATGACAACTATTATACCTTACTGTCCTAAATATTACCTTACTGTCCTAATAAAATGGGATATGTAATTTAACATTCCCTAGATAAGATACAACAGGAAAAGGCAAGGTAACATTGAGCTACCAAAGAAAAATGGGTCTTAATTGTTCTCAAAAAGGCTTCCACAGGGGGACTAATCTAATGTGGAAAGGAAGGCTGTTCCACAACATTGATGCTATGATCCAGAAACATTGTTTCCTTACTCCAGCATCCTCTTAGCTTACAAAAATATGGAAGAACCAACAGTTTCTCCCATTGTGTACCCACCAGATAGATAGAACTATCTATCCACTCAGGAAAACACAGCTCTTATGATACTTCGGTCTTTATAGGTCAAAAGCAGCACGTGGAATTGCAGACAGAAGCTTACTATAATTCATATAGGAACTTGAGCACAAGTCTAATATGTTCCTGTTGGTTAACACCTGCTAGCAACCACACTGCTGCATTTTGTATCAAGCATAATCAGATATTCTTCAGAGGCAGCCCCATGTAGTACACATTATAGTAGTCAATGTGCATGGTAATGAAAACATGAATTACTATTGCACTATGTCACTCTTCAAGATAGTCCAGACAAGGAGCACTAACCATTAAGAGCAATAGCAATAGCACTTAGACTTATATACAGCTTCATAGTGCTTTATAGCCCTCTCTAAGCAGTTTACAAAGTCAGCATATTGCCCCCTACAATATGGGTCCTTATTTTACCAACCTCGGAAGGATGGGAGGCTGAGTCAACTTTGAGCCAGTGGGAATGCCAAAATGTTAGTAGTCGGCAGTCAGCAGAAGTAGCCTGCAGTACTGCATTCTAACCGCTGCACCACCACAGCTCTTATACTGTACTGTACTAACACTTTTATGTAAGAATACAATAGCAAAATCTTGCAACTCTGAAAGTACATCTCTTCCCACTTTGTCTTTACAGTCCAAGAAAGTAAAACTAAGCTGGCAGGAATAGTTAACACTAGATGGAAGGGGAATAGAAGGGGAACGTATCAAATTTGCAGATGATACTAAGCTGGCAGGAATAGCCAACACCCTAGAGGCTCAAGATCCAGATGGACCTTGATAGACTTGAACACTGGGTCCTATCTAACAAAATGAAATTCAATGTAGAGAAAAATAAAGTCTTACACTTAGACAAGAAAAATCAAAAGTACACATATAGACTGGGTGAAACCAGGCTTAATAGCAGTAACTGTGAGAGGAATCTTGGAGTCTTAGTGGACAACCAGCTAAATATCATCCAGCAGTGTGAAGCGGCAGCCAAAACAGCCAATGCAATCCTAAACTGCATTAACAGAGGATCAAGTGAGGTACTAATACCATTCTATAAAGCCTTAGTATACTAGAATACTGCATCCAGTTTTGGTCACCACACTATAAAAAAAAAAAAGTACAGAGAAGAGCAATCAGGATGATTAGGGGACTGGAGACTAAAACATATGAAGAACGGTTATAGGAACTGGGCATGGCTAGTCTAGTGAAGAGAAGGACCAGGGGAGACATGATAGCAGTATTCCAATATTTGAGCGGCTGCCACAGAGAGGAAGGGGCAACCTATTTTCTAAGGCACCTGAAAGCCATACAAGGAATAATGGATGGAAACTGATCAAGGAGAGATTCAACCTAGAAATAAGGATAATTTTTCTGACAGTGAGAACAATCAACCAATGGAACAGCTTGCCTTCAGAGGTTGTGGGAGCTTCATCACTGCAGGCTTTCAAGAAGAGACTGGACTGTCATTTGTCAGAAATGGTGTAGGGTCTCCTGCTTGGGCAGGGGGTTTGCCTAGATGACCTATAACCATGATGGTGAACCTATGGAGCCATATCTGCGGGCATGCGAGCTGTTCCCTAGCTCAGCTCCGCCAGCTGATTTTCAGCTGGCCCCACCCACACTGCCCCTCTCCTCCCAGGAGTCTCCATGCAGCCTGTTTTGGATGCCAGGTAAGTACAGGGCTTTCCTGGAGGCTCTGGGAGAGTGTTTTTGCCTCCAGGGGGGTGGGGGATGCCATTTTTGCCCTTCTCAGCCTCCAGGAAAGCTTCTGGAGCCTGGAGAGGGCGAAAAACGGCCCTACCAGGCCCACTTGAAGTCAGGAAATGGGCCATTTCCTGCCTCCAGAGGGCCTCCGGGGGTGTGGGGAGGCCGTTTTTGCCCTCCGGAGGCTTCAGGTAGGCCTGCTAGGCCCAAAACGGGGGCCTAGCAGGCCTACCTACCTAGCAGGGGGGTTGTGTGCGCATGCGCAGGGGAGCGCAGGGGGGGTGACACACGCATGCCCGGGGGGGCACAGGGGGCATTGAATTATGGGCATGGGCAGGCACACACATGACCCCTCTGCACTCCCCCCCACTTTTGGCACATGACAGCAAAAAGATTAGCCATCACTGACCTATAAGGTCCCTTCCAACTCTGTTAATATGTAAAGTAGGGATGGTCCCTTTGTTTACCACGCCTCCCTTGCTTTTGCAAGCTAAGGTGCCTCTTAACTGACTAGTGTCTAATCTGTGGCATTTCCTCCTTTCTCTCAAGGACATTGTCACAGACCATTGCACAAAAATCCTTGAGGTCCAGGTAAGGCTGCAACTGGCACATTACCCAAAGCTAAGCAAAAGGCCCTGGACACAGTTTCTATCAGTTCATCCAACAATAGCCCAACCACTTTATATTTTTACCATATTTTTCGGACTAAAAGATGCTCTGGACTATAAGACGCACCTAGCTTTTGGGGAGGAAAACAAGAAAAGAGCCTTGATAGTACAGTGGTCTACGCACCCTGTTATTAACACAGCTGCCTGCAATTTACTGCTGGTTCGAATCTCTCCAAGGCTCAAGGTTGACTCAGCCTTCCATCCTTTCTAAGGTAGGTGAAATGAGGACCCAGTTTGTGGGGGCAATAAGCTGACTTTGTATAAATATACAAAAGTATGAGGGCTATTGCTTAACGCATTGTAAGCCGCCCTGAGTCTCCGGAGAAGGGCGGCATATAAATCAAATTAAAAAAAAAAATTTGCCTTTGCCTCTGCCTCCCAGCAATTTGCTTCCTTACAGCAAACAGTAAACAGCCTGGTCAGCTTCAGCACAGCCTGATTTAGCACAAGCAGCTGATTGGTAGTTGGATCAGCCTCCCAGAATACCATCGATCAGCTGTTCCAGGCTGTGGGGATCACTGCTGCCCATCGCCATCATCACTGCCGCCACCAATTGCCCCCTCCGTGCACCCCATTTTCGGCCTCCACACGTCCCATTTTCAGCCTCTGCATACCCCATTTTCAGCCTCCGCATGTCCCATTTTTGGCCCGTTCCAGGTGGCGGGGATTGCTGCCACTGCTGCCGCCCATCCCCACTGCCTGGAATGGGCGGAAAACAGGATGCGCAGATGCGAAAAATGGGATGTGTGGAGGCCAAAAATTGGGTGCGCAGAGGCGGTGATAGGCGGCGGCAATCCCTGCAGCCTGGAACAGCTGATCGGCAGTATTCCGGGAGTCCGATCCAACTGCCAAATCAGCTGCTTGTGCTAAATTAGGCTGTGCTGAAGATGACCAGTCTGTTTGCTGTTTGCTACAAGGAAGCAATTTGCTGGGAGGCAGAGGCCAAAGGGTGGGGGGCCAGCATATGGCAACATTCTTTGTTGCCTTTGGCAACATTCGTTCTATAAAATGCACAGACATTTCCACCCACTTTTGGGGGGGGAAGTGTCATCTTATACGGTATGTCACCCTCTCAAAAAAAGCATAACTTCAAAAGTCTGAGATATTTTCTTAATTTAAGAAAATGCTTCATAACATCCAAACTTCCAATTGCTTTTCTTTTCTTTTCAAGGAGAAAACTCATCTAAGCTATTTCAACTTCCGTTTACACTTTGTAAAGAATCCCAGAGTCCTTGTTTTTAAGTTTCATATCTTCCAATGTCCTTTAGTAGTACTTCCAATCAGCCTCCAATTATAGTTAACAGAGTGCTAGTGGAAAGATGCCCAAATCTTAATAATTGATACCATAAAATGCCGATCATCTGGATGTAAGTCATTTGAGCTAAGCACTACCTTAAAAACACAACATTTTAATTACTTACTTTGTAGAATATCAGCAAAAGATCATCTAATTTTCCATGTAAATCACCTAGAAAGAAAACAGTTTTAGTGCTGCATATACGTACAAAGCTTTCAGATGAAGCTTATCAGCAACCAGAATTAGAAATTATAACTCTCCAATATTTAACAAATATGTGAACGAAAAAATATAGGCAGTCAAGTGTACTTTAATAGGTTTTGCATTGGAAACCAAAAGGGAAAGAACCAACATAAAGAAACTCCCTACATGAATATTTCAATGCCAACTTAGAGCTAAAAAAAAAATGCTGGAAGTAGAATATGTCTCATTTATTTCTAATCAGAAATTTGGCTTGAGCTTCAATAAAAATTATGTTCATCTGTCACTAATCAGATTTCAGCCATGGAAACTATTATTTGCTTGAAGAGTAGGTCATAATCTCTCTCAGATATTCTTATAATTGTGCAAATGAGGACACTGGTTAGAGGAAGTACATATGGATTAGCAAGGACAGGCTTGCTTGCAAGGACAATTGTAATTTCATTCTATTTAAGAGGCTCAAATTTTGAGGAAATATAATGGTATTTTCTTATGCACAGCACTAACTGACTTGAACTCACTGAATTATATAAAATATAAATACAGTAGAAGCTTCCTTATTTGGCTTTGTACTGAGCGGATTAAAAGCTGATTTAAAACAATCATATTGCATGAGTACAATGAATTCAATCTGCTAGCTGCTCCTGTGATTGGGAGATACAATGCTGAGTCTGAGAGTTATAACAAAATAATTCTTCTTTGAGCTGCTGTACCTCCTCAAATAGACCCAGGGAGTGCTATCAGTTCATCCATAATTTATATCACTGTTCTAACAAAAGAGTATACATGTAGGCTTGAATTGTGGAAACCTTGGTGCTTTCTGAGCTTGGTTGTTTGCTTGCCAACATTTCATTACCCAAATAGGTAATATCTTAAGTGTGAATGAGTGGGGAATTTGCTTCCTATTTATATACAGTTGCTTGCTATTCTAATTTTGGTGGTGGTGTGGTTTTCTCCTAACTAATTCTCTGATTGGAGTATTGTTTAGGGCCTTGATGGTGAATTTATGGCATGCGTGCCAGAAGTGGCACGTGGAACCATATCTGCAGTCACGCAAGCCATTGCCCTAGTTCAGCTCCAGCATGCAGGCGTGCGCCAGCCAGCTGATTTTCAGCTTGTATACTTACCTGGCAGGGGAGATACCTTGATCAGCTTGTTACATTTAGAGTGGATGATACTGAGGCCAGGCTGCTGAGAACGCCAACTTTATTGTTAACAGAGAACGGAACATGAACACTTGAACCCCGCGCGAGGTAAGCAAAGAACTCTAACTCGCCGCCTGACAGTTGCTTAAATAGCGAGCTGTCAGACAGCATGAACCAATCCGCGAGCCGGCAATTCCCGCTAATTTAGTTGCTCGCGTCTCCACCAATCCGTGCCTGCTGGCAACATAGCCAGCGCGAGGGAAGTCGTAACGGTGAGGACTCAACGCCCCTTACCACCCGGACCGAGCATGCGTAGTCAGCTAAATACGCCGGACAACGTCGGCGCCGCCCACACTGTCTTAGTCCTGACGTGGGCGCTGCCGGGGGCTGAGCCAGAACTTCGCTCTCCGAGTTATGGTGGTCTCTATGCCACCTGGAGATTATAGACCAACATCAGCAGCACGCTCAGGGATCTCCGATAAGCCTTCCAATGAGAACGGGGATGGGTGGGTTGAGTCAGGCCGGCCTGGTTGTGCTCCTGGGGCTGCTGCAGGTGTTGGTGAACTTGGAGTGTCTCGAACAGGTTGAGGGTCGGACACATCGGCCACTCGTCATCTCAGCTGGTTAATGTGTCACCACCACACCCGGCCATCAGCGAGCTGGACCCTATACGAATAGGGCCCGGTTAATGGTATTATTTGCCCCAGAAGCCACCTTATGTTATGGTCAAAGTTCAGAGTGAAGACCAGGTCACCCACAGCGAATGTTCTTGCTTGAAATTGTCCCCCCGGAGGCGCCTCATGGGTATAGTTAGGATGCAAGTGATCCAGGGTGATCCAGAGTCGCCTTCCCATGAGGAGCTCGGCGGGGCTGTGTTTGGTAGAAGCGGTAGGAGTCGAGTGTTGAGCCAACAGGTATTGGTAGACTTTATGGTGCCAATTTGCGGGCCCTAAATGGCGCAGAGCCTCCTTTGCGGACCTCATGGCCCTTTCTGCCAAACCATTCACAGCCGGATGGAAAGGACCCGTTCGGGCATGGCGGATGCCCAACTTAGCAAGAAACAACTGGAAGGGTGCAGACGTGAACTGCAGGCCATTGTCCGTAACTATAGTGTCCGGCAGACCATGGGTCACAAACAGACTCTCTAAGACCCTCGTCACAGCCTCCGTAGTGGTGGATGACATGATTGTAAGGTCCACCCACTTTGAGTAGGCATCCACCGTGATTAGGAATGTGCGGCCGAGAAAGGGACCCGCAAGGTCTAGGTGCAGTCTAGCCCAAGGGGCCCTGGGCATCTCCCACTCCTGAACGGGGGCTGGGGGGGAACTGGCCTAGATTGTTGGCATTGGCGACACCGAGCCACCCACCTCTCTACGTCCTGGTCGATGTCTGGCCACCAAACATAACTACGGCCCAGGGCTTTCATGCGCACGATGCCCGGGTGAGCATCGTGGAGGCAGGACAACACACGGGATCGGAGACCAGGGGGAACAATCACCCTATTCCCCCACAGGAAGCAGCCCGGCTGTACAGACAACTTGTGTTGTCTGCGGAAGTAAGGCAAAAACCCGGGTGCCGTGTGTGACGGAGGCCAGCCCCTGCACGACCAATCCAGGACCAGGAACGGTACAGGGTCGGCGGCTGACTGGGACTGAATATCAGCGGCGGTCACTAAAGGAGACAACTCATCCACCAGGAGGACGGACGCTGCAGGGGGCGGGTCTTGGATGGCCAAAGGAAGGGGACAATGGCTGAGGGCATCAGCGTGCCCGATTGCCTTCCCCAGGTTATATTGTAATTGGTATGAATAAACCGCGAAAAAATCAGCCCACCGGGACATGCGCAGTGACAGTAAAGGAGGAGTTTGACGGTCCACCGCCAGCAACCCCAATAAAGGCTTAAGGTTGGTGACAAGATAAAAATACCGACCATAGATGTAATCATGGAATTGTTTGATTCCCGCGACGGCCGCCAAAGCTTCCTGATCTATCTGACTGAAATTCCTCTCTGCTGCTGATAAAGTGCGGGAATAGTAGGCAATTGGGGCCTCTGCACCATTGGGCAACAGGTGGCTCAGGACAGCCCCCACCCCATAGGGGGAAGTGTCACACGTTAGAGAGAGAGGCAAACTGGCGTCATATTGAACAAGGATGGCATCAGAGGTGAGAACGTCCTTAATGGCTTGGAATGAGGCGCCCGCCCTACGATCCCAGCACCAGGGAGTTTTAGTCTCCAAGAGCCGATGGAGAGGCTCTGCCAGTGATGCTTTATGTGGTAAAAACACCACATAAAAGTTGAGGAGACCGAGAAAGACCTGCAATTCGGCCCGATTGGTGGGTACAGGAGCATTTTTTATGGCCGCCACCTTGGCCGGAGCAGGGCGGATACCGCCAGAATCAATCAGGAACCCCAAAAACTCAACCCGGGGAACTGCAATCCGACACTTCTCAGCTTTAAGCTTCAGCCCTGCCTGTCTAAAACGGGTGAGGACAGCCCTAAGCTTAGCGATGAGGTCCATCTGATCCTCGGCCGCAATCAGAACGTCATCGAAGTAGGGCACAACTCCCTGAAGCCCATGGAGCAGCCACTCCATTAAGCTCTGAAAAATGCCCAGAGCAACACTAACCCCGAATTGCAGGGGGGTACATTTGAACCCCCCCCCCCCCCCCGGTGAGTAACAATCATCTGGGCCAGGGCAGTGGCCTCATCCACTGGAAGCTGCTGATACGCTTGAGCGAGATTCAGCTTCGCGAAGACCCTCCCCTGGCCCAGTGAGTGTAATAAATGCTGTACCACAGGGACAGGGTAATGGTTAGCCTGGAGTGCCCTACTGAGGGTTGCCTTATTCTGATCGATCCGTCGGGCTTGAGGGGGATCACTATAGGGGTCTCCCACTTAGAATGCTCCACCAGTTGAAGGACCCTTTGCGCTATCAATTTGTCCAACTCCTGGTCAACCCTGGCCCGCAGTGCAAGTGGCACCCTTCGAGTCTTCAGCCGGATAGGAGCTACCTGAGGATCCAGATTGAAGGAAATGGGGAGCCCTGTATATTTACCGAGTTGGCCATCAAACACATCCACGAACTCGCAGGTCAGCTCAGTAGAGATGTCGGAACAGGTTGTATGAATTCCGGACATGCCCAGATGCAGAGCAGCAAACCAGTCTAACCCCAGCAAGCTGGGAAGATGGTGCCTCACGACAATCAGTGGCAGGCGACCTGAAAAAGAGCCATAGACAATGTGGAAAGAGCCACAGCCTAAGTGGGAATATGCTTTCCTTAATAGTCCTTCAGTTAAATAGGGCACGACTGCAGACGCCGCTGGGAGAAAGTTGGGATTAATGCTTTAAGAGTAGACCAGGCAATCAGGGATCGGGAGGAGCCCGTGTCGAGCTCCATGCGGCAAGGCGAGCCTTCTAAATGGACGGTAAGGTAAATCTTGCTGGCAGAACCAGGAGTGGAAGCATGGCTGACGCCCACAGCATCAACCTCTGCATCACGATACACATCTACACAGTTCTCGTGGCATTCGAGCCACTTGGCCTTCTGTTGCTTGGGCGCAGGCTCCCCTGTGTGATCAGGGAGTGGGAAAACTGCATGGCAGACCCTGGACAGGTGGTCACACTTTCCGCAATGGCGGCAGACGGCAGACTTGAAATGACACTCAGCTCAGTTATGCTGACCGCCGCAGCCCAAACAACTGTTTTGGGGGGGGTTGACAGTGCCCGGCGCTCGTGGCTTCCAGGTGGCCTTGAGACAGCTCACTCCTCCCTCTGTCTCGGCAGTGTCTTCCTCGTCCGACCCCTCACAGTGGATGGACTGGGGAG